TTTGTAGTACTGATTGTTGTGCTCTCAGGAGTGCTATTCATTCGAAGTCGAAGCAGCCCAAGCTATAATATGATGATAGCTGCAATTTAAATTCTCGGCGCTCTTTGTTCCAGTTTAGTATGTTTGTGTGAATAGGTTTAAGGACATAAGTGATCTTTAGAAGGGATTGTAGCAGCCATTTTAATCTGATGCAGCTGTGATTGTGCTCTTATGAAATGCTTTGTTTACTGAACCTTAGGCATGAGAAGCCTACAGATCCAGATGATCCCTTGGCTGATCAGAATATCAAAGATCGTTACTATGGAATTAATGACCCTGTAGCTGATAAGCTTCTGAAACGAGCATCAACCATGCCTCGTCTAGACCCCCCTGATGACAAGACTATTACTACGCTGTATGTTGGAGGGCTTGGAGATACTATCACTGAGTCAGATCTCAGGTGTGTTGGGGCATTTGTATTGCCTTTATTTTTTAACTTGATGCCTTGATTATGGAATCTTAGGTGCCTTCCCTGCCAGAATTATTCCTGCAATATGGAGGTATCATCTGTGTTTTCGTGCCTGAAGGATCTTCTCTCTCGCAAGAAAAGAAAAATTCTGTTCAGTTTTTTGTAATGGGGAACTGGTTGGTGGGTGAGTGCAGAGGAGTTCCAGCTTCTTGGAGAACAGATTAACAGGGACATTTATGTGCTTTGATTAAAATTTCTCTCTTAAATATGAGTCATCCTTCTGAGCTCTTGACGATACCATGTTAGGCTTTTTACAGAAAGATCCCATAGCTACTCTCTAGTTAGCCTCTGGGAAAAGCTGCACCACAGTTTTTACTGCTCCGTGGTTACAGAGGGGCAAGGGACGTCATTTCTGATGGCAGGTCTGAACTGGCAATGGAGAAAGGAAAGGATCTGAGCACTTTTATTCAAGCACATGAGTTCCTACTGTGCTGTGTGCCTTGTAGGAGGAGTGGGCTTTAATATGCATCTTTTCCATGCAGAAATCACTTCTACCAGTTTGGGGAGATTCGGACAATAACTGTAGTACAGAGGCAACAGTGTGCTTTCATCCAGTTTGCCACCCGGCAAGCTGCAGAAGTGGCTGCAGAGAAATCCTTCAACAAACTCATTGTCAACGGTCGCAGGCTCAATGTCAAATGGGGAAGGTGAGTGTGGAGTGGCGAGAAGCGTTATTTCTTCTTTGGATGCCTGGTGGATACTGTCCTCTGGAGACTTGATGCTTAAATAGGCAGAGGGGTTCAAATCCAGGTATGGTTCTTCATTCTTTTCATGCAGTCTTCATGGGTTGGGATAGATACTGGGTCGATAAATAGCAGGCGTCCTCTTACGGTCTTGTTATTTTTTTTTTTTGGCAGTGAGATTTGGGTTGGATATCGGGGGTTTTCTGGTTGAGTCGCTATAGATTGACTTCTCATCTGGCTCCTGTAAACGCCGTTTGCTCACTATGTACTGGCTGTTGTTCACATTCTGTGAATTTTTATCTTTGGTCTGAAGTAATGGATCTAGGTTAGATAATGTGAAATTGTTGTGATGTGAACATCTGCTCGTTCTACCTTTTTTTTTTTTTTTGGGGGGGAGGATGTGTGTGTTCTCAAACTTTTGTCTGAATTTTAGGTCCCAGGCAGCAAGAGGAAAAGAAAAGGACAAGGAAGGAACTACAGAATCTGGGATAAAGCTGGAGCCAGTTCCAGGACTCCCCGGAGGTAAGGGAGATGTTTTCATTTCTGAAGCACTTAATGATGACCTGCTGCCATGAGAGACTGGAGTTAAACTCTGCTATTTTGGTCTTGGAGGTTTGGGACGGTAGAGTCACTGATGAGCCCAGAGCAGTTATTGCCAGCATGTTTGGAGCAGACCCTGCTGGGATCAGAGGAGAGCTTTGACTAAAAGCAAGTTCTTGGGGAAAAGAGGCCTCCTTTATGCGATGAATGAAAAGCTAATGCTAAAGTAAAGTAATTCAGGTCAGAGATACTGGCGACTCACACTGTTCAGTGCCCAGCTAATGTATTCCTAATTCACTGAGTGTTCTGTGATGGAAAAAGCGACACTGGTTTCAGGTGGAAAAAATGATGACTGTTCTGGAGGTTCAGTGCAATCCTGCTTGTCGCTTCTGTTTAGATGTGCACTAGTAGCAGCAGTGTGCCTTGTGGGAGAATTGATTAAGCCTCCTCTCTGAAGGCAGGTACCTCTGCATTTCTTGATTAAGAGAGATTTCCAGTAACCATGGTGTGTTCTTCTGCAGCTCTCCCCCCGCCTCCAGCAGCAGAAGAAGAGGCTTCTGCAAATTATTTCAACCTACCTCCGAGTGGCCCTCCTGCCGTGGTTAACATTGCCTTGCCACCTCCTCCTGGCATTGCCCCACCACCACCTCCAGGTACTTGTTTTTCCTATTTGGGTGGGGGCGTCTAACTTGGTGCAGCAGCACAGAGGGCTGAAGATTTAGTCCTTCTTGCTCAGCTGGCTGTAGCTTGTACATGCCCTGTGTTCATTTTCCTCACCCCTAATCACGCAGTCTAAACTGATGATATAAGATGAGCTGTCAGCACAACTTGATTAAACTGAGCTGCTTCTGGTGTTGTGTATTCACTTGCAAACTCTTGGGTGAGTCAGAGGTTCCTGTTACTGGTACTGAGACTTACTCGGTGCTTTTGCTGGCTGTATAAGTGCCACATTGACCTGAACTTTGAAGAATAATTCTACAGATAGTTGAACACAAGCCTGGTTTTAGCTAAGTGTATGTATGTAGCTGGAGACCTTTCTGTGCGATTGAAGGAAGCTGTGGCTGTATTTAACTGTTGTGGATGTGTTTGGTTTGCTCCATAGTTGAGTAGAAAGCATTTAGATTGGGATTATAGACCACTGTGTCAGTCCCTCCCACCAGGTTATATTTCTGAGCAAGAATGTGTGTTGGGTAAGGATTACCCCCAGTTACACTGGAAGGAGGGGAGGGAATTGGGGGATTTGAAAAATTCAGGGGGGATAGGCCCTCTTTCTAAGGCGGGGCTGTTAGGAGCTTTGTGTAGGTGGTTTTGAATGGTAAAATATCTGCATTGCCTGCTCTGTTGCTTTGTTTGAACCTGGCATCTTTGTTTTGTGTCTGCAGGTTTTGGACCACACATGTTCCATGCCATGGGGCCCCCACCGCCCTTCATGAGAGCACCAGGCCCTATTCACTACCCGTCTCAAGATCCCCAGAGGATGGGTGCCCATGCAGGAAAGCACAGCAGCCCCTAGCACATCATGCCACTTTCATCATTTGAGTAAATGTTATTTTCTAGTTACCATAGTAGCGCCATATGTTGAACTGTGGGCGAACTAGAGAAGCCTTCCTTCCCTGCTTGCAGATACCGGGCAAGCTGAGCTCTGTGTTGCCGCTAGCTAATCAAATCATTGATACGTCCCAAATCTTTCACTTAGTGTTCGGAGGGTGGGGGTAGAGAGGAGAAGGGGAGCAGACAGAAAGGCTGTCAAGCAGGCCGTGGATCAGTTGTTCTAGAATTACAGTACTGTCAGTGTATCCCGTTTTGCACACTTTTGAAATAAACTTTTGGAAAAACCAAACCAAACCCTCTTCTAGCCCATTTGATATCCTCAGACTGAACGCTATGGAGTAGTTAAGGATAACCAGAGACGTTTCTCTGTGTTTAGTAACTAATGACTTATTATTCTGATGAGGTACTACATCTTGTAGTGTTAAACTAGGACTGAATGAGAGGTGAAAAACAAGCTGATCAGATGTGCCAAACTCCTGGCTTTACCTTACTGTTGCTATAGAACTTTACTCCCTGCTTTTTCCTGACTTTTTGCTAAAATAAACTTTTTGGTGCTTCTTTTCTAATCCTGCATTTCCTGAGCAAGATACTAGGTCATGCAAATAGTCCCTTGCTAGTTGCTGGCATGACCTGGAGCGACAGGTTAACAGTTGCTTATTTTAGCCTCATGAAGGCCCCCCTCTACGGCCCACAGAGAATTGGGTGTGTGGCTGACAGCTGCAGGGGCAGGCCACAGTGGAGCTGTAAGTTTGTCCTGTTTGTGTTTGGAGAATGATTAGGGCTTTCAAGGCCTTTGGATAAGTCCCCTTTTAAACTGTGAAGTGGATCTGACTTTTTTTCTGCTTTGATTACCCTTGAAACTCTTCTTTCTGTGGCTCCAACTGTAGTGTTTGCTTGGGAGCGCCCGTGTCCTGCATGGAGTCTGCAGTTGACTAGGATGTATGGGCATATGGCTGGAGGATTTTAAGTTTATCTGTATGTTTGTTGCTTTCATGTAACCGATCTGTGAGTATCTTTCTGTAAAGCAAAACATGATGGGACCTGTTCTGAAGCCTCATTTACTTGTTTTTAAGAAGTACATTAAAATTTGTGAAATTTTGAACACTGCTTAGTCCGTGTTTCCTGAAGCAGGGTATCTGAGGACTTTTGTCTGACTGTATTGGCCTGCTGTCAAAGCGAAGGTGCAGAGGGGGGAAGGCAGCAGGTCTGCTTCTAGGTCAGTGCGCTGAACTGTACAATGCCACTGGGTCCCACTGAGGCCACCACCGAAGGCTTGTTCGGCCTGCAAGGCTGTCGTTTGTGGTATAGGAACATACATGGCTCCAAGGACATAGCTGGCACATGGGCCTTCCTTCTCTGGAGAAGTTGGGCTTTGGGCACGGGTAACTAGCTTTTGGTCCGGTAAGAGACCATCCCAGGGCAGTGTTACAGGGCAGGCTGAGGCCCCGCTGATGGATCGGGAAGGGAAAGCTCCGTTGTTTGCCCCTGCCCTGGACTTGACTCTCTTCAGACAGTGCCCGTGAGCACCAGTCAGACAGATCTCAAACTCAAGCAAGCTAAACGTTATGGCTAGTTTATTTTTTTTCCAACCGTGTCCCCAGAGGTATACACATTCTTCGCCTGATGGATACGGGAGAGAGATGGAACTGGACAGTATTTGAGCAGCATAAATTTTTAATACTAAGGAGCAGACCTTTTTGTTCTTCTGTTAGCTTGTCCTGTTGTGTTTCTGGCGGAAGAACAGAGGAATGAAAACTTTCTTCTGAATGATGTTAGAGCAGAATTCCTGTGTGACGTTTCCTCTGCACATCTGTCTTCACTGTACTAGAAATATATTTTACAATTAAGGCTGCTGTTAACTGCATTTTTACCAGCTAGCATACAAAACTTACTTGTCTAGTTTATCCATAGTGGTAGAAAACAACAATATTTTTATCTTGATTAAAGTAAATGTGCCCCTGGTTTTGCAAAATTAAGTAAAGGTAACATTAAAAGGAGTTGAACAAATGTAGATACCGCGTATTAACTTGGAGCTTTCTGTTAGCTGTAAGTAGGGTTTTCCAGACGTTTCTGGCAACTGTCCTACTATGCTGTGGTTGGACATCCCCTTGTATGTCACTGGTGAAAACGTTTGTGCAGTCAAAGCCTCCCTGCTGACTTTCGCATTCATGGAGAAGCCTGTGCTTGCTGTAGAGACGTGGCTGGGCTGTTCTTCCTTCCCACTGATGTTTAAGTTACTGGTATATCCTGACACCTGCAATATCTTGCAGACTCCCGAGACTGGTGTGGTTGTGCTGTGGATCTGCTCCAGACAGGGCCTGATCCTTATTGACCCACTGTGTAAAGCAAATCTGGCATAACTTAACCAAGAGCTTAGACATTCAAGCAAGGCATGCAGACAGGAAAGGGAGAATGACAACTGTAAAGTGCTAGCCAGCAGCTTGTGGAGAAAGCTTGTGTCACAAGTTTCCAACTCACGATGTTGTTCCCGTCCCATATACCCAGGTTGTGCTGTACGTATGTTGGTAAACAGGCAAATGCCCAGTTCAGCATTTCGTTTTCAATCAAGTGCAAGGTAACAGCTTTTTACACACCAGTGCTGCTAGTAACTTGTTTTGTGAATGTTCTTCAATTATTGCCTCCTCTCACCAGAATAACAGATGCAGAGTTGTCCTTAAGCTGGAATTTCTCTGCAGAGGCACCACCTGTTGAAGCTGGTGTTGTGTGTCAGTGAAGAAGCGGCGAGACAACTGGATGTTACAGCTGGTGGTTCTGCCATTTTCCACGACGTAGGGGAGAGGACAGGCAGTACAGGATGTTTTGTACGGTGATGGTTACCGGAGCTTACAGGGATCCTGCATTAGAGATGAGAACTTGGCTGGGTAGGTTAGTGCTAAATGCCCTTGTGACAGTGGTTGGTAAGAGAGGCATTCAAGATGGTCCCGAACTTGACCTTGTTCAAATCCCATGGAAAAGGATGACAACCTGAGACCGCTAGCTTAGCTTTCACAAAGTGCATAGGCAAGAATATTTACTCCTTTCTGCCCCACTGCGCGGCGTATGTTAGAGTCTAGCAAGAAAAGCGTCTGCAGCAATGAGGAAGGGCATGTATTACAGGTCGTCGCTCTCTGGTAGAATCCGTACCCAACCTTGTGGTGCTCTGTTGAAGTTGGGTCTGTGGGAAATCAGCTCCAGAGCGCTCAGGTTATCTAGCTCCATTGCAGGCATAGAGAACGTGTCGCTGACTTGTGCTCTGCCAAACGGGATGGGAGTCCTGCATCACAAGAAAAGGTAGACTTAGCTCGCCACAGAGGAGAGACGTTGTGCATGTTTGTAATGGTGAAGGACAGGAAAAGCAGATCTGGACTTTTTCGTTCCTCGTGAGCCCAGTTGCAACATAACAAGACCTGCAGAAAATAACAGCCCTTTTCTTCCTGCCTAAGATGCCATTATAATCTCTGCTAGCCCAGCAAGATGCTTGTGTTGTACAGCGTGAACCTCGATTCAAGCTTTGGCAGATTTTGCATAGTGTTTTGTGGCGCGTGAGTTTTAGCGGCCGTGCTGGGGAGAGAAGAAGCTGTAGTCTCCCTTTTTACGGGCTCCGCCAACAGCCATGGAGATGTGCTGTATGTGAAAAGGATCAGATTAGGAGAGCAGGTGACCGGGAGGAGCCCATTGATCTTTAAAAAGGGACTCATCTGCAGTTAATGTGTTCTGCTAAGGACCGAGGCCATGTTAGTGCTACCTCCTGATTGCTCCAGCACATGTTCAGGCAAACGTCTTTCTCTTGGCCCTCACTCCAGTCTGCGTTTTGGGACAGCTTCTTTTGAACTATGACTAACGGGAGGAGCAGTGTGGGGGCAAGAACTGTCATCCCTTTCTAGAGAAATGTGAAAAGGGGCTGAGGAACTGAGCACCAGGTCCCTGAAGAGCCAGGGTTTGGAGCAGTGCATGTAGGCTGATCTAACAATGAGGCATAGCTGGGAATGTTTGCTTTGGGAAGTGTTGTTCTAACATGAATAACGTGGCGCTGTTTTGCAACTGTGTCTTAGGGAGAAATAAGGGGGGAAAGGTAAATGAGAGAGATTTGTTCCAGATATTCTCTCCCTCTCTGGGAAAAGGCAGTCATTTTCAAAGCCGTGTTCTCGCTCGCTCTCAAGGTAGCACACCTTAGCAAGCTAGCTGGAGATCTTTGCATCACAACCTGAATTTTTAAGGTTGGGAATAAATCAGTCTGCCTTAATGCAGCTGCTATTGAGATGGTGAACTTTCCCTTGGCCTGTGACAAATGTGAGCTGAGTGGGAGCTGAGTGGCAAGACTGCTGGCTTCTCACTAGCTGATTTGATCCAAAAAGCATGTTTTTCTGCAATTTGGTGTTTGATGAACTGAGAAGTGATTTAAAAGCCAACAGCTTGGAGGAGCATAAAAACCCAGTTAAAAGTGAATTGGCTCTCTGCTTCTTTATGCCTCAGTGAAGAATTAGAGGAGGTGGCAAGAGGCTTGGTGTTAAATTAGCATCCGTCTGTATTAAATAACAGTTCAAGACTTTAAATAGAAAGACAGCATGTGAGAGGGGAGAAATGGTACTGGGTAAAGCGTTATTCAGAAGCATGCCCTTGCTTCAGTCCCCGTCCATAAATAAATGCTGAGGCAGGAACATGGCTAAATGTTGGAAGAAAAGAGCCAAGCGTCTGCAGCAGCTTCTTGTTCTCCCTCTACAGCACCTCCTCTGATGCTACTGCACCAGGAAAGCGTGAGATGATTGAATAACCTGGAAGGAGACACTAAGGAAACTGCTAATACAGCCCCTTTGCTTCTCCGCTCTTTCCCTCAAACAGCTGACCGGGCTTCAGCCTGCTTTCTCTTGGCTGCCCTCTGGGTTCTTGTCCCTTCTGTTAACCCTGTTGTCTCTTCCCTTCCCTCTCTCATTTCTCTCCCCCTGCTCCAGTACTGACTAGAGCACTGTCACGCATTCAGTACAGAGATGTGTGGGGAAGAACGTCTCCGTAGAGACAGGTTGGAAGAGAGGGAGCACATAGGTCACGAGTGTGCAACTTGCCAGGCACGAGGGCAAAGCTCCAGCACTGAGGCTGAGAAGAGCAGCAAAGGGACAGCGGCAGCACTGTCTCCGCTCTGCCCGGGCGTAGGTTGATCTCTGCCCTTTGAGGTGAACGAGGAGTCTGTCTAGGCACAGAGCCGTGTTTTCAGTGCGGAAGGGTTGCTAGTCCCCCTGCAATGCCCTTCTGTCAAGTTTTCAAAGCAGAGCGGTGATGCCCCCTGTGATATAAATCCAAGCACAGTGAGGCTTCAGTAAAGTTGCTGTCTGCAGAGGTCCACCTCTGCCACAGACGGTCTGAAGTGCGAACAGTGCTATATCACAGTAGGGAAAGCCAGTGGGAGTCCAGGCACTCACAGCTTGCCTATTGGAAGGTGACTTTGGCAGGCCACCAGGACTATCTTTTCATCTTCATGAAAGAGGCTTTCAGTGACCAGAAGAGCCAGGGCCTCAGTTTTCAGATTCATTGAGAAGATGCTCATTTTAAAAGTTCAGTTCTCATTACTCTACCTTGGGTTGCAGGTACTTTGCTCTCACCAGAACTCCCCCTTCTGAATCCTCACCAAACATCTTTCCAGAGAGGAGACTTGAGGTTTCTGTGCCAGGATCCTAACCTCAACTCCAGCGTAGTTTGGAGGCTCTAAGGAGATGCACCAGCAGTGCTCTGTTGGAAGCAGCCACAGGTGTGGAGCTTGCCAGGCTGAGCCACCGGTAACAGGTCTGGAGACTTCAGTCTCAGGGGTATGTTTGGAAGGAATCTGGTAACCTCTTAGCACCTCGCGGAAAGATTAACCTTGTATCTGCCACTGCTTCCAGCAGCTGTTGAATACCTTAAGAAAACTATGAGACTTGGCACTGTCTGTGCCATTCTTCTACCCAGCCCAGACCTGAGTCTGGCTGGGAACTGCAGTGATTCCTTCTCCTGGAGCACGTGAATGAGTCCTGGGGAAGTCCTCCCAGATTTCAGCAGTCATCCCTCAGCTTGAGGCTACACAATGAGATCAAGTGCTCAGGGCTGCACAAGGCAGTGGCGGAGCTGAGATCAGGGCTGGGGAACTACTGGAAGCAGGGACCTTTGTGGCGGGGCCAGATCGGAGCTTCTAATATTTTCTCTGCCTTTTCTCAACAGGAAAAGATTGACCTGAGCCCTTCTTGTTTACGCTGCTCCCCTTTGGTGTATAGAGAGGGCAAGGACTATTTATTGTGTTTTTCCCTTGCAGGCTAGCGTGTGCTGTTCCTCCTTGAGGCTTCACTGTCTCAGAGGAGTCCCAAGGAGGAAGGTAGAGCAGGGTTAGTGCAGCTCTCACTTTGCGAGTGGGGATCCACGTGCCTTGTCCCGTTCCAGTGCTGCGCCACAGCCCTCCACCCCCTTGCTCCAGGGCTGTGGAGGCTAGAGGCTAGAATGGCTTAGCAGAGAGACAGACAGCCGGAGGCCCTGCAGGCTGGTGTCTGAGCCCCAGCCAGACCCTTGGCCAGCGTTACCTATTGAAGCTTCTGAAGTCCCCGTGAGCGTGTTTCATGGGCAGCTGGTTCTCTCTGTCCGCAGCGTAGTCCTTCTCGCTGAGGAACTCCTGCCACGGGGAACGGTAGCCCTTGGGGATGGCAGTGACGTTAAACTTCTCGGGGGGGACTTCTCTGAGGGGGCCAGAGTAGCCTGCATTTGGGAGAGAGACAGCATTTGCTGCTGCAGCGGTAGTTGGGCTGTGGCAATGTGCTCCAGGGCTAACGGTCCCTCCTGTGCAGGGGCAGGTGAGCTTGAGAATAGCCTTGCCCTTGCACAGCCACAGAGGACCTTCTGCTGGGGGGGAGGGGGGGGAGGATATATGTGTATATGTAAAAATAATACATTTATGTATCTATAAATACATCTCTATATATATGTTTATAGATAGATGTATTTTTTTTAGATGTCAATCCCCATTTTGATGTTTTTTAATGGTAACTTGGAAGACCTGAGGGGTAAAATGCCTGAATTTTGCTCATGGAAATGAACCCTTTAAAAACAATTTTTAAGGGTTATTTTCCTTCTGACAAAGACTCTTTTTTCACAGGCAGTTTGATGTGCTTTTTCAAATAGGCCATACCAGCACTGTCTATTTTCCCCAAAGTTCATGGGATGGTCTTATGGAGGATCGTTAGCACGAGGCAGTAGCTCCCTCCAGGCCCAGCTCGCTGTCTCGGTGGCTGGGGCTGCTGTGCTATACTGCAGTACTCCTTGCAAAACGGTAAGAAATAGGGCTGTCCTGCAGGAGTGCTGGAGAAGAGCAGTGCCTGGGGGCACATCGGGGCCTGGGCAAAACACCCCGGAGAATGGGAATCAGACCAGTCTGCTGCGAGAGCAGCGAGTTGCAGGGTGCTCTGTACAGCTTATATTCTGCCTGTCCATGTCCTAGAAGGCAGATACCTCCCGTCCCTGAGGCCGCACTGCAGGACTGTTCCCTTCTGCCATTTCTGCAGCTCCTGCAGTGCGCGCAGTGCTTTATGGATGGGTCTAAAAAAGAGAAAGCTGCTTCAGGCCTGGAGGGGTGGCTCTCATCAGCACAGGCTCCAGCAGGGAGGCTGGTCAGACACTGTGTGATGGAGTAAGGTGAAGAGCACAGGCCTCAAACTCATGCCTTAGAGGGACAGACTATAGTGCCTTGGCCATCTCCCACCTGGTGTCCCCCAACGCTGTGTTCCTTCTGGGGATTTCTGTAGCTCTGTACTAAGATCACAGTGAAGTTGGCTTTGTGGTGTAGACAGCATTTACCTGGGGCCAGAGCATCTGGGTTGAGGGCTTTGCTCATCTGCAAGACTTTCTCTGTCTTCTTGGGCACTTTGGGAGGGCCCCCCTGCACTGATGCCGCCACGTGGAGCTCGGAGCGGTAGCTCTGTTGGCCCTCAGCGTTGTCATGTGCCTGCAGACGAGAGAGTAAGTGAGGTGCTGGGGAAGACCCCAGGGCAGCTCACCTCTGCTGCCTGAGCCAGGGCTCGCTGGAGAAGGTGGGATGGTAGCAGAGAAGGTCTCCTATTGAGCAAGGGAGTGCAAAGCAATCAGAGAGCCTGGCATCCTCCACAGAGCACACTGTTAAAAGCACCTCTGAGCAGCTGTGCATGCTGCTATTAGACCCTGCAAGCAGCAGGTGTCAGCATCCGTCCAGAGAGGCCTCGTTCAAGCCCAGCGCCCTGTGCAGAAGCTGGAGATCAGCAGCCCCAGAGGCGCTGTCAGTCACCCGTGAGTGGCCACGCTCGAGCGTGGGGCAGCAACTGCTCCTCCACCTACTCACCGTCCACTCGTTTGCCGTTCCCTCTAGGTAGCCTTTCTCCACACCGTGTGATTCACCTGCCCCCATCCCCAAGAGCTGCAAGAGGCAAGGAGAGGGGTTAGCAGGGGGCGGAGGGCACTGGGAGCCATTCCCTTGCTCTTCTGTGGATGCTAAATGTGACGTTTGGCCATCCTTCATGTCATGCCCAGCCTCACTGGGCAATTGCTTCCCTCTCCCCTTCCTTAGTTTCAGGCTAACCCGGGGTAGCCCTTATGCCTGGCTATGAGCCCTTGAACCCAGCAGTGGGCTCCTGGGCTTCACAAGCCATCTTCGTAAATCATATTGCCATTAACTGAGCATGGCTGTCCTGGTGAGAGAGAGCCAGAGCCCTGCGGATAATCACTTTCCTGCGAAGGCTGTGAGAGCTGGGGAAACGCCGTCCTGCTCGGAGCTGGGGTGCCAGGAGCGGACAAGGAGACCCACCTTCCTGTGGCTGCTGGGATACTCAAAGATGAAGCGCTGCATCCGCCTCTGCCTCTGCTGGAAGAGCTGGGAGCCCCGGTTTGTCCGCAGTGACAGCTCCTCTATCATCACGTCCTGTGGCGTGCTGACCTTCTTGCCCAGGTCCAGCCGAGGGGCTGAGGACACAAGAGCGGAGCACAGCCGGAGCTGAAGCCATTGTAGCACAGAGGATGCCCAAGCTCGAGGTGAGGAGAGGACAGCAGTATCCCCTCGCTCTGGCTGGGCACAGCCTGTACCAACCCTCAGAGGGGTCCACATCTCACAGAGCTTCGCCCTGCACCCCCACCCACACAGGAACTGTGCCGGTGACTGGTGTTTCCTTGCTGTGGGGATTTGTCAGGGTGTTATCTCAACCCCAGAGGCTCAAAACAACCTCTCCCAGGCCAGCACATGGACCCCTTCTGCCTTCAACAAGAACTTACTGTCCCTTGGGGCTGCAATGCGAGAGGGGGACCAAGAATGCAGACACTGAGGTCCCAGGGAGCTGGGCCAATGGCTCTAGCCAGAGCTGGCCTCTTGGCACGGGGAATGACACCCCATGCTGCCCTGGGAACCGCAGGACCGCCCGGTGTCCCTTACCATCTCCTGGTCCTGGTCTCATGATGGTCATCGCCTGCTGTCACGCTCCTGGGGTGGGTCCGTGGAAGGGGGCTGGTTCCTGCCCAGCTGGAAGAGAGAGGCAGCCCCACGAGGACAGCGACGGTGACGGCTGCAGCGCCGGGATGAGTCAGTCCCCGAGTGCGCTGGGGGGGAGAGGCCAGGCTTTGGCTTTGTGTCCCGGGGCCCCCAAGTTTTCCCTTGGGTTTGGGGGGAACACACAAGTATTGCCAGGCCTAGGAGTCCCCTCAGGGGAATAGCTGAAGAAAGGGCTCGTGCTGTGCTGGCACTTTGCTCTGTGAGGCCCCAGCAGCCAGCCCCTAGCACTGCAAAGACGTGCAAAGTGGCTGCCCACCCTCCGCTGAGTGGCAGCTGAGCTTCAGACAGTCCTTTCTGCTGGTGCAAGAGCCTCCTCCTCTGCACCTCCTGCCCCCTGGCCCTCCACACACCTCAGCCTGCGGTTTCCCTGCTCCTGCCTCTTGGTCTCTCTCTGTGCTGTTTGCCGCATTTAGCATCTCCACAGCCAGCAGCGTGCCTGCATTACGCTCCATGAGGTGTCCGGGAGGAGCTCAAGCACTGCTCTTGATGGCAGTCTGTCCCAAGCGTGCTAGGCCAGGCTGCCCGGTGCTGCCCCCAGCCTGGCCGCCCTCAGCTGCTCCTCGGTTCACGCTGGGAAGCGGGAGGCAGCGCGGCCCCATCCTGTG